TAAAAATGCTTCCAAAATGGCGGGCACGGGGTCCTCTCAGAATTGTTTAAAAGCCCCGTGTCGCGGCATATCTCGCGCGTTTCGAAAATAGGTCTCGCGGCCGATATACGAGCGTTTCGCGATAATTTGACGTGTGCCGATCTCGTCAGGGGCGGGAAAGAAATTTAATAAAACGGCCGCATGATCCTCCGCTCTACATTCTTCCTGCTGCCTACCGTCCTATCGATCCCCGTGACAGAGGCAACGCGGCTCGCTATTGGTCGGCGCTTGCTCTCGCGGATTATACCTTCGTTTCGCGTTTCAAAATTTCCTAACCCCTTCGATTGGCTCGTTAAATGCTCTCCGAATTAAATGTCCGAACTCGGACTTCGCCGCGTCCACTTTTTCGAGCCGGGCCGAGAGTCCGGATTTTGAGTCGCCTCCGGAAAACTCGGTCGCCGAATGCGCGAATTTGCTCGTCGTCGCCCAATGTGGGTATTTCGAAAACTCGCTTTTCACCCTTTCGCTCGTTTCCCGTTAAAGCTCGATTTTAATTCCCCGTAATTTACTCATCCCCGCGGCGGGCGAAAATAGAGCCGCGATGCCTTAGGACGTGGAAGGAAGCGCACAGGGTGTACGACGTTGTACTCGTATAAGCACGGGGTGAAAGCTCGATGTACGCGTGCGCACATACTAGAAGGGACGCCCGGGCTATAATTTAGATCGTAATGCTTGTAATCTGGATCGCGGCTCGCAATATCCAGCCACTATCTGTGCGTTCCTCTTTCCAGCGCAAAGTGCACGACGGGCGTAGAAGGGAAAAAAAAACGAAGGAACGGGGTGTGATTCGCATTCGTAACAATGCAAAGATCGCAATCCACCCGGCGCACGCGTTGACCCGATGAAAATGAAATATCTCCGTCACTAAATTATTAACGGCAATAACTCGCGCCTTAAAGGAAGGGCGACGCATTTGTTCAAGGGGCCATTCACTTGGAAATCATTGGAAAGGATTTCCGTCCATAAGAATCGATTTCCCTTGACTTCATACGATAAACGATGCAATTCGGTAACAAGGGACGTTCGACCTTAAAACGTTCACGGTATTTCGATGATTTCCAACGATTTCCAGGGATTTCCTCTCGCGAGAAAACGAGTGGAGCGACGAGGCCCTCGTTATTGCCGATCAATTACCGTCCGCCGAGGAGACGGAACAAAAAAAGGGGAAATATCAAATCTAGTCTTTGTATCCCGGAGTCCAACAATCCGTACCGTTTTATCCCTTCGCAGTCGATTTACAGCCGTTACCCCCTCGACCAGGGTATACTTACAGGTGTTTAAACTCCTATACGTCCGATTCATACGTGTGGCATTTCAGGCAAGAAATTACGCCGCCATATACGGTTACGGCGTTTTTTCCCAACATGGCAGTATAACGCGATTTTACGACCTCTAGACGCTTTAGTGCACCCTCCCACAAAACACATGCCAGAAAAGTGTCTAAAAAGTTGCCTCGGAGGCGTCAAACGTCCCACTCCCTGCCGGCCTTTCAACGCCTCTGCAAGGAGGAACGTCTTTTCGGGGCGATGATCGACCGAGTCCCGCACATGACGGAGAAGCCTCTCGACGCGTTCCCGGGCACTTTTCCAAATTTCCGGGCCGATTGGCGAAAAAATGGCGGAGTCGGTCGGGGCGCGAGGAACCCCCGGGCCTTCCTCGAAGAGGCCTAACGACGCGATTTCGCGCCCGAACAATAGGCCGGCGTCCCCTAATGCCGAAAAAGTCCGACGGAGACTTTATCGGCATCCGGCCTTATAGGAGCCGTCGACTAAGGGCATCACGATTCGTATCTGAGATTTCTCTTAAGAATCGCGAGGGAGAGAGAGCCGGCGCTCGCGATAAAACCTCCTCGGGCCCGACGGCGCGCCGGACCCCGTTGGGCCCCGCGAGGTTTTCAAAGAACGTCCCGGGGGAGAGGGAGCGCGGCTGCTCTGAAAAAAAAAGGGGGGGCCCATTCGTAAAGTCCAGTCAACTCATAAATCCGTACAGATTCTATCTGCGTGCCGTGGGAGTGCGGGGAGGGTAAGGCTCGCCGAGACTCGCCAGGGCCGGCGACTCGGTGGACGCGCAGGTTGCGTGTGGGTGGTCCCCTAAGGCATAGGTAGATCGCGGCGACGTCACGCGCTTTACCCCGATCTCCTTCCCTGCCTCTCTTTCCGTCTCGGTTTCTCGGTCTGAGCGCGCATGCGCCACCGCGACCGATTATCCCTCGCACGATGTCCCGGCCGATGAAATCGGGCCGCGATTCCTTCCCCGGATGCGGATTTTTTCGACCCTTCTAGCGATCGGTTCGCTGGGGGGTAGCTGGGTGGTATCGGCTCGGCGGGGCGTTTTTAAGGACCGCGGATAGGGCGCCGGACTCGCAGCCGATATTAAATATAGCTCCGACGACGTTGGCATGGTCTTGTTTCGTCATTTGCTCCGGAGTTTGCGGTAAAACCTGCTTTCGGCCGTTTCTTGCGATCGTCTCGATTCGATTTCGACGGCCCCTTCCATGGCATAATCGCGATGAATCACGTCGTATTTTTGCACCGCTCGCGTCGTGCTCCATTTTTCCAGCCGATGCCAATCGGACTTTTGTAATGCAAACGGCGACGAAGGGACCGGAGATCAATTCGGAATGCGTCGAAGCTAATAACCCATTACCCGCCACTCGTAGGAATAATTGATAAATAAAACGTTCGTTCGTTATTTCCCCCTTGCGCTGATTAATGGAGCACGCCCTTCGAGTGGCGGCGGAAAGGGTCGCAAAGGACGGCAAAGATTACAAAGGGCCATAAATTCCCGTCGTTTGATAAAACGTCAATCCGGACTGATGAATCGCGGGCCCGATAATGCCGAAGAATGGGCAATATCTAAAATTCGTTAGAAACTTTCAAAACGTCCCTTGTAAAACTTCCCACTGGGGGAAGAGACGCGACGTTATCTCGTTACGCGACCCTCGTTTGCGACCGTATCCGATTTTACAAACTGCCGCGGAATCGATTCCAATGAAACTTGCCGTATAAATCAAACTTCTCGTCCCGAAACGGCATCGCGCATCTACGCAACTCTTAGATAAAGTTCAAGAGGAGAGTCGTGACTTTTTGACGGCAGGACCGTGACGGAATTTAATGCGCGGTCATTCGATAAGTAAAATCTCCTGGTTGGCGATCCAAGAATATTAGCTTTAATAACCCATATTCCTATTAATATGCAGGTACGAACCCTCAGAAATGAGAAAAATGGTGCAATAATTTCATACCCTCGACGACACCGTTTGGAACCAATCGGAACCTCTCGTTCGCTCCGTCGCACCAATTTAAATTCACATTTCTCTGAAGAAAATCATTGAAGAAATTACCGACAAGTACCTAGGAATTTCTCATCGTTCCTGACGTCACTAACCGCGTTTAGAACTCTAGCGATAGCGACGGAGTAATTCGCCTGGTTGGACTACCTTCACTACCGCCATCTAGCCTTCGGAGTGGAAACCTTCCTCGTCGATATACCAACCGAAGCGAGTTCCTCGAGGCTCCACATCGATAATCGATAATACCTACGTAGGATGACAAAACCCTCACGAGTCTTCGAGAAAATCGCACATGGAAACGAATGGAGCCACCGTGACGGAGGTCCTCGGTGGCCTCGATGTTATAATTTCATATTTATCCCATTATATCCGTAAGTACTTCGTTATACAACGCAACGGTTTCGAGTCGGTTTTCCAGTTCGGTTACTTTTGCGTGGCAGTGAACCGTAATTAAATAAACGACCGCGCAGTATATCACTACGTTCGTTCAATTAGGCGACAGCTAATCCACGATTTCACATGCAAAACGCTAAAGAGGTTGCGTATACGAGTTGTTACCTTCCTTAACGAGTCGCGGGGAAGCGTAAAAATGGTTATTTATTAATTCAAGGCAGTCTTCTTGGAGTTTTTGCTATACTTGAACCGCGGGGTCCACACCAAGATGACGGATGTGCGAGTGCCGAGGCGTGTGCGCGCGCACAAGGTTGTGTGGCAGCGAGCTGAAATTACGTTCGGCATGCAACCACCGAATGGTCGTACATGATTTACAGCTTAGATCGATATCGATCGGTTCGAGCTCGTTCAACCGAAGTTCCTAGATATGATTCAAAGTATTGTAGTTGAACGATAAACGGTAAAAACCAATCCCCGAGGTTCCCATGCGCCTGCGCGCGAGGAACGTACCACTATCGGCAGCTTGGTCATCGGCCTGGTATTCTTCATCGGTTTCGAGAGCCAATAATCTCATTGAATTACGTCTAACGGGTTGGATGTCCCTCTTCAATTGACTCGTCGGAACTACATTGATCGAAGCGAGATGCGCGATTCGCAGACACAACAATTCTGGACGAGTCAATCGAAGCGCGCTTTACTCGCTTCGAGTCGTTCGACGTTGCGCGAACCCGTCGGCCGGAATTGTGCCGAGGGGATTTTCCACCCCCGATAGGAGTTTAAAGCTCCTCGTTCCCCGTTTTTACAGCAAGCGAAGTACTTGAGAGAGAACTCGGAGTCCCCGAATACGCTCCTCGCGACTTCCGGTTCGAGATCCACCGCGATTCGCGATATCTCGACGCTGGCGAATCTGTCCAAAACGTGGCGCAATCAGGCGGCGACGAGCGCGAGTCGGCTCGAGGGCGTGCGGCGAGCGTCGGGCGTCCCCACGCTCGGGGCGTCGCGCCGCTCGTATCTGCCGCGCGCCAAGTTGAAACAAGGAACTATCGGCCCACCAGTAGAGCGGACGCTTTCCTCCGGCGCGGACTTTGAGCGCGACGGGCGCGCGTCGAGCCTGCGAGGAAATCCGGAGGATCCGGAGCGTCTGGTCGCGTCTTCCGGCAGGGAATTACTCACCCTGACTTGGCTGGGGGCGGTGCACGTCGCGCGGCCTCCGCGGTCGACCCAGGAAAAGTGCGCTATTAGAGTGGCGCGCGGTCGCGGTTCGGGGCGCCGCAAGTGGCGCCATCGGGCGGCGGGCGCGCGAACCCGATAGCCGCCTAGACCCGCGGAACTCGCGAGGACGTTGATCCTAATCGCGCCTCCTCGCAAGCAGGGTTGAGTAAGTGAAATACCCTAGCTAATTTACGTAGCTTCTTACAGTAAATTACTAGGTGTTTTACTTAACGCATTTAACCCTTTACGTAAATTACACGAACCTGGGACTTTGTTTCCACGGCTCCCGTTCCCGATACGCTTGAAGTTCAAAACTTCCCGTGGAACGTCTGGAAAGCCGGGACGTCGAGGCCTAGGTCATTTCAATGGTTCGCTCCTACTTACGCTTATTCTTTATTCTTCTTCTCTGACTAAAATGTTTATTCACAAGTGATGTATACTGTGATCGCTTTGAAAAAGTGAGGTTACGGTCCCGCCATCTTTGTCCCGGAAGTTTTAGGTGTTTTACTTCGGTTTTACGTAAAAGAAAAAGCTTACTTAAGAGAAGGATTTTCGGGGAAAAAAAACTCGAGTCTCGCGTCACTGCCCAACCCTGCTCGCAAGCTCGCTCGGACGCGAATCGGAACCGGGCCAATTTCGGAACGGCTTGCCGCAAGATTAGACCGCTCGGCGGGGATGTCAGTACTCGTCGGAGCCGTCGAGTGCCTCGTCGCATCTCGCCGTGCGCGGCCGTCGGAGTAATGCGCCTCCTCGCGCGGACTTTTCCGCCTTTTTGGCCGCCGACTCGCGCGACTCGCGCGACTCGCGCGCGCCCCGATAAACCAGCGCCGAAGTCAATTGCGCGTAAGAGTAGCTCCGCCGAGATAAGGTTATAGCGCGTCTATGTCGACTCGGTGTGGACGTTTTTTCCACCGCGAATCTCCGGCGCTCGCCGCGCCGGGCCCCAGTGCAAGCCGGGTTTATTTAAGACTCTTACGTCGCGGTTATGCCCGCCACTGTTCGCCGTCGATATCGCAAAGTCATCCTAACTCGTGTGCCGACGCAAGGACGACGCGCGAAAGCGCGATATTCGGGCGAATCGCGCTTCCGGACTCGAACGGGATTTTGGGCCTCCAAAATGACCGGTTGGAGCAACCTGCTACTCGTTTAAGGTAATACGAAAGGGTCATTCTATATATACTTATATAACGTAAGAAATATTTATAAAACTTTCTTAAACAATTGTTCATTAATTTAAAAAACGGTTTCACATGATTCGGTGCACCGTGTTTGGAGAAAGGTTTTATAAATATTTTGACGTTTTGTATATATAGAATATCCCTTTCGTATCACCTTAAGGGCGGCTCTTGAGTTAACGAAAACTACGTATACCCTGTACACTAAAACCAGGTTCCAAAAAATGATCTTCGCAAACGTCAACCGTAAGTTTGAAGCAGGGTGAAAAGCGCGGTTCTTGTCGCGAGAAAAATTTCCCGACATTCCCCGGGTCGTGAATAACGTTGACGGGTTTCCGTCTACCCCAGAAGGCGAATTCCGAATCGACCGCCAATCTCGAAGAAAAGTTATAATTGAGAATTCGAACTGCTGACCGAAACCGAGATTAACGCATTCTGGATATGAAAATTTGCAATCCGGTGGCAAAGTCCACGCCATGCGAGACGGCGATGCCGTCACCCAAATCCGAATCGTTTCCCGATTTCAGGATTTGGTACCGTTGAGGGTACTCCATGCGATCGATAGCTCTCATAATTTTCCATTGGGATTCGCGAGAGGTTTCCAAAATGCCGAAGGGTACCCGGGACATTAATTTGAGGATTTTGCAATTTGAAACACCTTCGGAGCTGGCCGAAATCGGTGGCTTCGGTCATTACGCACCCGTTACCGGGCAGAACTGCCCGAGGGTCCTAATCTCCCGATTACCTAATATTTAACGAATACACGGATAAAAAAATGGCCATAACTCTTTCCGGATTAAACGCGCCGGGAGAAATGATTAATCGGGACAAATGATGTTCTCGGGAATACGTAACTAGGGACCTCGTCGTTTTGACCGAGGAGCAAGGAGTTCGGCAATGAACCTACCTATGAATAAATGAGTCCAGGTTTGGCTCGAATTGGCAGATCCAAGGCGAGTCGGGGAAGAATTGAGTTTCTCTTCGCGAGTTCAATTAATGCGCGATAAATATCCGGCTGCGATTATCGATATTTTCTGGGAGGGGGAGTAAAATACCGATCCCAGGTCTGCGAGAAGCTGCGCGCTATCTCGATACGGTCAAGGCTGAGAGTTTTCGAAATGTCTGAAACGACTGCCCACTCGGGGGTCATGAGGATTAGAATATAAATATTTTGCCGAGCCGACATCGGGTTAGATTGGTTTCTTCCTTTCCTTTTGCTTGCGAAACCACTCTTCCGTCGTAATTGACCGATATGCGACCGCCATTTCACTACCAATAGTGCACAACACCGTTACGCGTTGCACCTAGTGATTCGAAAAAAAAAAACACCGGAAATAAAGGAAATATAATTATCTCCACGTTGATCCGAGTCGTGGCGCCACATCCCGATCCTTCTCCGATTTACCGTCTCTTTTTATTTTCCTTTCCCTCGTACGTAAACTAGCCGTACGTTTCCAAGTACGAACGGGAACGATACGAACTTCTGGCAGGAGGACTCGTTTCGTAACTTTTTGCCCAAAACCGCAGGGGGACTATTTTTTTTCTCAGACTTTCCGATGCGATACCCGATAAAACGGCCGATACGGGTAATCGAACATCAATCTCCAGATAAAATCCTCGTTGATCACTTTCCCCGTGAACCGTGAAGTGTTCCCGTCGAACGAAGAGTCGAGGAGAGGACCTCGTAAACCACGCTGCATTCCCAAATGAGACATAAAAAGCAAAGTGATGGCCTCCTAATTCCCCTCCATCGGCTCTCTCTCCCCACCCCCCGTGTCGTCCATTTATAGATATCGCCGTCGGGCTTTCTAATCTTTTTGAAAAGATTGTGTGTGACAGCTACTGATAGCGGAAAATGGCCGCCTCAGTATCGGCAACACCTTGGAACGGGGCTTTGCTCGTAATAAATCGTCTATCATCTCGTTGAAAAGGGCACTTTTCGAGAGCGGAAGTTATCGCGAGCCGCGTGTCACGCACCTGTACGTAGATGCCGCCTATCGGCTCGTATCGCCACCTAGAGACCAGAAAAATTTTGTGTCTCTTGCCTGTGTGTGCCCTCGGGGCTCCCAGCTGATAGTGCACGGGAGGAATCTCCGACCTTGGCATGGAGAACCGGAACATCCAGGATTTGGTGGCTGGGAAGGACGTCATCGTCAGGGGGGTCCACTCCGCCTCGACCGAGGGTGAGTTCCCAGTTACTCGACAATTTTTATCACCCTTAAAATTAATTGAACTCGTAAAGTAACGGTGATACAAATCAATAAACTTTGTTTCTTAAATACCGGAGGCATTTACACCTGCAGAGTAGCTTCCTAGAGTCCGTTCCGAGGAGAGAATTATTTTTCGTTAACGCCAAATTCTGCAATCACTGGACCGTTTCTTGATATGGAGGAAAATTAAAGTGGTTTACCGTCGAGATTATATAATTAAAATCGATGCGCGTTTTTCCTTAATATCCCGACCAAAAATCGGCGCTGATAAAATATCCAACGATAACCCGGAGTCTTGGAGGGAGGATCCAAGATGGCGGCGCCACATGTACCGGTGTTACCTTAAGCAAGGTGTTACCGGCACTGGAAAATAATTGTTACGCACGTGGAGTCTGACTAGGACGGGATGGCAGCTTCATCCAAGGATGAGACACCTCAGATGGAATCGATCCCTTCCCGTTATCTCGTTTGAAAAATGCATTTAGGGTGAATCAGCGGATCCGTAAATATGGCAACCAAAATAATAAGGGAAGATTCAGGAGGAGAGGAAAAAATCTGGAAGAGATTACGACACGTAATAGACCTATGGCTAGAAGGGTCTAATCGTTTGTCATAACAGTAGGGTTAAACGCGATATGAGTACAAGCATAAAAACACGAAAGTGCGAGATTTTACAACTCCGGTTTCGTAGATTACACGAAGAGTCACCCAATGCTCCTAATCGTCCTTTCTTATTGTATTTCGGTATTTCCTTTCCGATAACGAAATCGTCCCTATCCATGGGTTCGGAACTAATTATCTTCCTGGATATCTTCTGAACAGGAGGGATTTTTGGCCACGTCACTAGTCAATATTTCTCTCGAGATATACTCGAAACAATGTCAATTTCATCTCTGAGGCAACCAGAAAATCAACATTCGGGGAACCTCGTAATATACTGTTATCGCATCTATAATCACTGGTTTCATTTTAAACTCAAGCTTGTTAAAAAAAAAAATTTTTGGAAAATTCGTCCGTGAAATAATTGATAACTTACGGATATATTTTCTGTCATGAACGCTCTTTTGGTTGTCTTTGACCGAAGGCATTGGAATGCAAAGCTCGGGAGCCTTTCTTTGGAAAACCGATCGCTCCCGCTCGTTTCTCATGCAAATGGGCCTTATTATATTTTCTGGAAACAGAAACGAGACTCAACGAGCAATGTCGCGCGTAATCAATTTCCCTCCATTCATGCCTGCACCTCTCTTTTTGTGCGGCTGCCATTATCGTACAGGTGAGAATTGGAGCCGAGTGTGTCTTTTCACAAACGCGGCGAACAGCATCGGCTTGTTTGGCGAGGGGAAACGCTACACTGTGTCATTAAATGGCTTTCAGAATAAAAAAAAAAGTACGTGCGTCCCGCTTTGGACCGTAGATCGTTCTGTCACTGCCGTTTGCAGGACAAATGTTTGTCGGCCAATTAACTGCTTTATGCAAAGAAAAATTACTAAACGCCCAGCCTTAACTATTGAGTGGACGCGAATTGCGCCACCGTTGATAACGGAAGAGAATTCCCATAATTAATAATCGGCATGCGAGCCGTTGGTAAATAATTTCCGATAATTTCCGGAACCACTGCCGCGTTTCTTTTATCCTGGTTCACCTAGAAAATGGCGGAACTCTGGACACTCCGGAGTTATTCCAATCACGGAACATGTCGGAAGGACGGGCAACGTTAATGAATATTTTACTATCTTACGCATCCGAATACCGTGCGTGTGCCAGTGCGCATTTCTGAGTGTAAGGTGAATAATGCGAACGTCTTTCGTATCATAAAGTTCCGAATGAATGAGCAATTGTTAGGTCCATTACCACCTTGCAACGTACTCGTCGTTAGATTCGAGTGTAACGGCGTGCAATGATGCCCTTGAAACGGTACTAAAAAACATTATTCGAAAGTATTATACGATGTAGAAAAATCAGCACTTCCGCGGAGATTGAAACGCGCAATTCCGATAACGATACGAGAACGTTTAAGATGAAATTTAGTCGCGTTTGATTGACTGCCGATAAGAGGGCAATTACGGGATTTACTTGATGGGTACCGTAGGGACTTTATCACTGGGTTCGCACACGCCTTGTGGTCGTCGCGACGCCGGGCGTTCCTCCAAAGCCGTCTTCTTTGGATTTCGCAGAATGCGCCTTTCTCGTTTGAATAGCGCTAGAGGTCCTGTCTTTTGCATACTCACGGGCGTGATTTATTGCGCCGACATAAAATGAAACTTCCCGCGATAAGTCGCGAGCCGATCCGCGATTCATCGTTCATCCTTCTGATGAACGTGCTTCATTGAAATCGATCGATGATTGACGATCGGTAAATGACTGCACGGGGTCGCCCGGTACCGCAAGTGAAGAGCTTTACAACGCGATTTCCACATCCCTTCGGGAGAGAAAAGTCCACGATGACAGGACATCACCCCGCAATTTACACTCCGTCAAACGTTCGAGACGAGACGGTGATAACGCGTGATAACGCGCTACCCGACTTCCCGCGCAATAATGTACAACGATTGCACCCTCGGAAATTCGACATTGTTTAAACTTAATTAAATTAATAATTAGTACAAGCATATCTGTTTCCGATACTCCGCGCCAGGTGCTCGGAACTTATTTTGGCAGAACGATTGTCTGGTTTTTTAATCGATTAGTGATAATCGGTAGATAACCGCGCGAGGCCACCTGACCGCGCAAATAAAAATGTCTGCGGCTCGATTTTCAAGCCGCTTGCAAGTGGGAGATTAGAAGGCTTTAGAAGACTCTTTTTTTTATTGAAGATAACATATTTTCGCCACGTAAAAAAAATGAAGAATCGGTGGAGAAAGGGAATTGCCGTGAACCGATCCGGATGGCTGATTCCGGTCGACCCCGCGACTTCTTTCGGGTAATGGACGTGTAATTATTTAAAATGGACACTAAGTAGACGTTCCGCGGTCGCATAGATTTCTCATTGGCCTGCTCTCATCTCGTCGTTGGATTTCTTTTTGAGGTCAGTTGACAAGACCGAGTAAAAGCGACGCTTACTATTACAGCACCGCTTGCTTACAGGGCACGCATGAAAGTAGGAGGAAGTGCATCGACGGAGAGGCTTCGGGAGCAAAGTAACGAGACATGATTCATGTTGATTATACCGCTAACGAGGCGACTAAAGTTTCAACACATTGTATAATCTGAAAAGCGAATGGCACCCTAGAATATAATTTTTTTTTTTATCAACTCCACGAACGTTTGAAAATATCGGTTTCCCCGTTCTCGAGGGGAAGCGTGAATTAAAAGTTCCCCCTTTCCATTAAATTACATTAGACGCGGAATTTTACTCGCACGTACGCTAATTGAAGTATAAATATTGCATCTGCATATAATGGTAATTAAATTGTATGGCCAATTTCCAATACCCATACGAGTCTCGTTAAGAGGACGAACCGGCTGCGTTAAACCCTCGCGGGATGCTAATATTATATGCGTATAATACATAATGGGGAATATTTCATATTTTTTCCCCGTTAACAGTTAATTCTTCTCCGAGAGGATCAGCTGTAAATCAAGGAAATCTCGATGTTACAAGCGCTCCTAGCCAGAGGCCGCGCATTACCGCATGATATACCGCGGAAAAACGAAAAGGTCCTCCGCGTAAAGCGACATACCGTTATATGCGTAATTTGCTCCGCAAGTGATGCATTACGCGAGCGAGAGACTCGCTCGTGGATCGCTCGCGAATCGCTCTCTTTCGGCGCTTTCGGTAATTCCGCCGAACACGTTTCGAGCGCATGACAAATCGAAGGTTGCACCGTGTGCATGTAGGATATGCCGTGAGTTATAATAAACTTGTAAGTCCCGAAGAGGTCACCCGATAACCCTTTCGGAGCACTCGACATCCCGGATAGGCGGCCGTTCACCAGTATTCGTTGGTCAGCGATTAACAATTACGAAGAGGTGCCGAGTTGAGCGGGTGTCAACTCCACTTTTTAATAAAAACTAAGCCCAGTCGGAATCCGTAATTTCTAGTTATTAATTCGTTGGTCAGCGATTAAAAATTACGGAGAGATGCCGAGTTAAGCGGGTCAACTCCACTTTTTAATAAAAACTAAGCGAGCTCATTGGGAATCTGTAATTTCTAATTATTAATTCGCTGGTCAGCGATTAAAAATTACGGAGAGATGCCGAGTTAAGCGGGTGTCAACTCCACTTTTTAATAAAAACCGAGCGAGCCCACTCGGAATCCGAAATTTCTAATTGATAATCCGCGAGAACGCGTCCGGCCGCGGATGAAAAATTGATGGAAACGGTGTTTCGCGAAATTGGGCTGACGTAACTTGATTCGCTCGATCATCATCTGAGGCGATGGCAACGTATATATGCATTCCTTGTATCTGCCTCTGTATGTACAATGCGTACTTCGATGTTACGTGTACAGAGAAAGAGCCCGACATCCGTCGCGCGGGCGCAAATCGTGCGAAAAATGTGAATTATGCATCGGGAATTCCTACGCAGCCGACGTATCCATATCGTTCTCCCATGATTAAGGATAATGATGTCGCCGTAAGTAGCGCCGGGTTCACGGAGGCTGGCAAAAAATGCGACATCGATCCGAAAATAATCTCAAGGCGATTAATGAGGACGCTCGGTTTGCTGCGCACTCGATTGCCGATAGCTGACCACTATTGCACTTTTGCGTTAATTTTATAGATTTCATTTTAGCTACGGTTTTCTTGCACCGAATCGTGGAAACTTACCGAGAGTGAACGTGTCTCGTTGCTTGTCTTTAACTCGCTCTACGTGCCCATAATTTTCATAGATATCGGCCATTTCGTTGCAGGAATCTCGCCTGCTTAGGCACTCCGGTAATCGATTAAAAACATAGAAATCGTTTATGTATATTCGTACAACATTTCGGGGCCATTCCACGTCGAGTGAGTAAGTCTTTTGATACCGAGAAA